CATACGTACACACATACATACATACGTACATACATACGTACATACATACATACATACATACATACATACACACACATTAATACATACATACGTACACGCACATACATACATACGTACACACATACATACATACATACATACATACATACATACATACATACATACACGCACACATACACACATGCATATATACACAAAACGGTACATGCATACACCCAATGCATACATGCGCGCAAACATCTCTTCAATTGCTGGTGTGTAAATACATGTACACACACCCATGTGTGCAAAAGTAAATAAATCAATATATATATATATATATACATATATACACGTGCGTGTAGATGAATCAATATGTAGATAGATAGATAGATAGATAGATAGATAGATAGATAGATATATATATATATACATATATACATAGTATATATATATATATGTATATATATATATAGATATATATGTGTTGTTGAGTATGTACATATGTAGATATGTGTTTGTATGTGTACATAGATATAGATATGCAGATACACAATACCTGTGTCGTGTACATGCAAAATCAGGATTCGTGTTTCGACCGCATCAACTGCGTTTGGATGTACATACATATGTGTGCATATGGTTAGATAAATTCAATAAAGATCTCCCTCTCCATATATACGTATATGTTACTGGGAGCATGCATATAACGTGCATACATGCGAACATGCATACTTACTTACCTCTATACCCGCCTGTAGAGTTTTATGCACACATACAGTTTCTATCTGTACAAAATCACATCATACTATATATATATATATAGCAACGGCAGGTGAACACATGAGTGACAGAACTAGGCTCAACATGTCAGGTTCCCGGTGCTTCTCAGTCTCTGGCATGGTTTTCGCAGCCTTGCGGGTTAGGCTTTTGGGATTCAGGCTTTGGATTTAGGATTTGGGGTGGAGGTTTCGCGGGGTAAGGTTGGCATTACATTCTGGCGGTGTTTCTTGGGTGCATGATCTGAGCTCGCAAGGCGAGCGTGGTCTGCCCGGTGCGCAAATTCAGAAAACATTGGAGTACCAAGAGATTTCTAGAGTTAAGGACTCAGCTCTGTAAGTACGCTTGCTCGAAAGACCTTACTTGAAATTCTAGGTCTGAGCCGTGAGAAACGAAAACATATCCTAAGACGGATATGCAGCTCTAAGATCACATCCTCGACATTCTTCCCCTTCCGGCAAACTTATGGCAGAAGCAGAGTGCTGTGGACTGGGTTGAAATATTCGAAACCCATCTTTGCCTGAAATCCACGTGTTTTGCAAGTCCTAGCTTGTACTATTGAAAGTTAAAAGACAACGTCGTAAATGCCATCAGTAGGTGGTACCCGAACTTCAGCTGTCGAACCCAGCCAACACAGCCCTGCTCAAGGGGCACAACCCTAAACCCCAAACGCTACAGTAGAAGTTAAACCCCATCCAACAATTGCCTTGGTTTTGGGGCTTAGCGTCCGCACCCGGTTTTGGTCTCATCGAGCACTTGAGGCCCAACTCATCTCCCTTGCCTGTGGGCTTCACAGCAGCTTGCCGCGCCCATAGCTCGTCACAGCACAAAAGAACTCAACTGCTACACGGCTTGAAGGTTTTACGGGGTTTCAGCTTACTTGGGTGAGGGATCCCACTCCATGCAGGGCCTTGGAAGTTTTGGAAGTTGCATGTCGGATCACAGGCTTATGGCCTTTTGTCGAAGAGACCGCGTGGGCCATATAACACGATATACATGAATTTATGAATATATGAATACATATATATATATAATATTAATTCAGTAAAAATATCAACACATCTATATCTAAATATATAATACATATATATATATACATACATATATATATATATATAACATATAGCTGTTGGGCCAGCTGCCACTCTTGAGCACGATAAAGATCGGGGTGCATTTGACATGTCGTGCAACCTCTCCCAAACTGCCCTCAGGGTTGCAGCATTTCTACTACACTTCCAGACACATATGAGGCCAAGAGATACCACAGCACTACACTAGCAACCTTAGGAAACCCTGTACTAGGAAAAGCCTTACGGAAGCAAGAAAGGGCAGTGCCTTGGGCCGCCGGATCTCCCGCAGAGCGAAGAAGCCCGTGGCCACCATGGACACCGCGCAGGCCATGCCCACGGAAAGCCAAATGCGACCTCGATGCGCTGCGATTCCCGTGACTGTACCTTTGACAGTTCATGTGCCTGTATTTCTGTCGTGCAAAGTAAACTGCACATAATATATATATATATATATATAATGTGTATATATACATATATATATATATATACATATACATATACAGGTGTTATGTGTGCCCGTGTGTACGTACATGTATGTATGTGCGTACATGTATATGCATACATCTCTCCCTTCACACGTATCTTCACACATACAACAGTAGATTTTCAGGGGTTCATACCTAGCAACATGCAACACGAAGAGCAGGACTGGAACAAGGCTCACAGTGCTGTCGCCAAGGAGCTCACTGAGCGACCAGCCCCCAGCCCAGCAAACCCCAAAACGACAAGGAAGCCCTTCCAGTTGTCGGCCCGGAAACACACCCAGAGCTCGATAGAAGTTGCGAAGCAGTGGTGAAAGAGTGAGATAGAGGTTTCGGTCTGTCCACCCAAAGCTTGGCTCAAGCTGCTGACGCGAAAAGGGCCTGAAAGGGCATGAACTCTACGGCTGAAGACTCGGAAGGCTTTCTTAGTATAACTGAACAAACTTACAGGCACTGTAACCGGAAAGCACCAAGCAGGAACACCACGGCCATGCAACCGCTGTTCAGTGGGAACCTCCTGACTCCTGAGGTCCGAGTTTCTCTTTTTTACCATGCAGTGCCAGAGGGTCACGAAGCTACCGCCGCCCAAAGTGGAGTCCGTCGCTAGGCTCGAGCATCCTCGGGTCGAGTTAAGTGCGGAAACGAAAAGCAAGCAGTAAGAGGAGTCGTGACGGCCTCCTCCTCTTCGGCATCAACTTAAAGCTCCTCCTCCTCTTCATCCTCATCCCCATCCTCACCACCATCATCATCTTCTTCAGCATCAACATCATCTGTCAGCAGCATCGACAGAACAAGACAATACACACAGACACACGAGCACACACACACACACAGACAGACAGAGACACGGACACACACACACAACCACCTGCACTCCTACCTTTTCCGATTTCAGAGGGCTTTGGCAGCTGTTTACTGAGCTAGGCCACGACATGCCAGGAGCTCAATATCTTCAGCAACTCAAAGGTTTCGACAACCGCCCTGCAGTCTCAAATCGCTTCTCCGCTGACACGAAAAAGTCGTGTGAACCCGCGTGTTCAGCCATGATATGCACTCTTAAACAGGTCCCAAGGCCAAGATCCATTCCACGGACGAGTCCGGCGTCAACCGGGCAGAGAGCATCTGCTGAAAGACTGCACGCAGGCCTCTGAATTCTGAATTGGCGCTAAGCAGCAGGAGGAAGCCAATAGCTTAATATAGTGGCCTTAATTAATTAGTAGAATAGGGTTTTGGGGCCCATTATACTATAATCATAATATATGGAATAAGGAACCCCCAAAATAGCATAGGCAATTATTTAGGCCCCTATATTAGGTAGGTTTTGGATTATAATAGGCAGCGGAGGGCTTCGCTTCCTTTGTACACTAAGTCTCCCCCATTGCTCAAAATCGACAGACGAGTCTCCAACCTCTGATCTCACCAAGAGGGGGGTTTCCGAAAATAGGGGACCCTAGTATAGTACCCTAAATAGGTGGATCCTGATTATAAGGACCCCCAAAATACGATATCGGAAACTCCCAAAGGGTGTTGGGCGGGAAGGCTTTTGCTTCAGGGTGTCTGCCGGCTGACCGAGACTGGCCATAGCCGAACTACGTGTCGAATGTGTAAACTCATTCATGCTGCTAACCACGCAATTTCAGAGAGTGAAGCCGGCTACTGGATCTGGGAATCCAACTCCGCTCGTAAGCCAGACATCACGGCCTCGAAAGTCCCGCAGGCGGGTCAGCTCCGTCAGAATCGGAGTGAAGGTGACCTGACGTGTTGTGCTGCTGGGTCGCCACAAGCGATGCACGGCACTCATCCAGCATGCAGTCTGCCTAAAGTGGGGTAGACAATTTCCCGAAGTCCCTTAGTCTGCGCAACTCTGTTTTGCCAAAGTCTTGATTCAAGTTCACAGCCTTTAAAAAAAGAAGGAGCGCGCAACCCGTGTCGAACATGCTGGTACAGTATATGCGAATTTCGAAAATGTACACACACGCATGCACGCATACACCACCGATATGTATCTATGTGCCTGTTTACGTACAGACAGACACGCCGTACATCTGTGCAGGTGTATGTATATATATATATATATGTATTTATTTATTTATTTATCTATTTATCTTATTTATTTACATTGGGGTATGCACGAACATGCTTGCACATTCAAGGCACGTGCATCTACAAAGACTGGAAATACGTAGGTAAGCAAACTGAAGAAGTAGGCTGGTCAGTGCATGACACACACAGAGACGCACAGGACTTTGTCAGTGAATAGATGCACGAACAAACTAGTACACGATAAAGCCACTAAGTGACTGAGTAAGAGCTCAAAAAAGCAGATGAATGCACCATTGAACCACTTCAAGCACACAAGAATTCAGATGTAAGCGTAAATGCAAGTATACCAAGGAAGTACGGACGTACATATACAGCATGCGTATACGCATAACCACTTACAAACATGTGCGCGATTCCTCTTTCTCTTTCTCCCTCTATTTTTATGTGTGTCTGTATACACACACATACACATACATATACCTGATATAGCTATGTGTGGAACACAATGTGTCTGCATCAATATATCAGATTCCTAGTTCGGGCGGTCAGACTCAGTCAGGGGTCTGTGTCGGGAGCCAGCTGCTGCCCGGCCATCTGCTTGAGAAGCCCACGCGCAGAGTTCAGAGATCCAGCTCGACAGTGCGCGCTGATCACAGCCTTATAGTCAGGGATATTCGGGCCACGAAAAGGGTCAGCATAAAAGACAGGGTACGAGAAGGGTGCTATGACAATGATTTCTAAGTGTTCTCGAGGGTCTGGGGTTTTAAGGCTTCTTTGGGTTACGGGTGGGGGTTTCGCCTATTTGAGGCTCAGGGTTTGGGGTTCGGGTCTAGTGCTTTTAGGTTAGGGCATGGGACATGTATTCTCTGTTTTCATCGTAGTCAGCACATTCAATCGAACCCTTCGAGGCCCCTAAACCCTCAACCCTCACCCTAAACCCTAAAAGCCTAAACCCGGGCACGTTGTAGGTGATCGTCGTGGGCTTCACGTGGTCGGCCATCCGATTTAAGAGCTCATCGGCCTCGTGGAGTTTTAGGAACAAACTAACGGCCTTGGGGTTTACGTTTTAAGTCGGGTTATCGGTTTAGGGATTCGGATCTAAGGTTTAGGGTTTAGGAATCAACTTGTAGGGTTTAGGGTGTAGGGTCCTGGGATTCACAGGGTGTCTGCTTGTGTCAGGTAGTACCTGCAGCAATCCACTCTCCTCAGCAGTGAAGCGGTACACTGTAGCAGTAACTGTATTGGCTGGGCCAAGCCTCGCGCGCAAGGCCCTGACGGGCGAAAGCATCCTTGGATTTGTTTGGGGCTATGAACCCTAAACCCTAAAGGCTTGCTTCGTTCTTTAGGGCAGTTTCCGAATCACTCATATATGAGTCATATCATCAGACCTCGAACAGCAACCTCGAGACAGGAGGCCATCACGCAGTTGAAGCTGATGACATCGGGAGACGGTCCCTCCTGTGCTTCGGCTATTCTCTTCATTCCTGGTCTCGGCAGCAGTAGTGCAAGCCACTTTCGCGCTTTCTGTCAGCAATAAGGCACCCCGGTGTCAACCCCAAATAGTAAGTGGCAAACAGAAAGTGCTGAGTACCGAAAAAACCCTACAACCAAGCCAACAAACCGCTTGCAGGCTTGCAGATTCTCGGGCTCCTGAAGGAGGTATTCAAGGTAGCGTCGTGCCCCACTCACATCACCCTTCCGCGAGAAGGCGTGGATCAACCTCACACTTGGAGGACAACAAAAACTGGTCATCCCGGAGCAAACACTCTCACTTGCCACGGGAAGTGACCTAAGTCTGTGAACTCTTGCATGCCCTTGGGATGCGAGAGTGGTCACCCTGCTGGGATCGTAACGACTTCCGTGGGCACTGTCGGAATGAGGAAATTACTCTGGCAAGCTCTTTGCATTTCAGGCAGTATGCTGGAAAGACTGATCGAAGGATGTTTGCTGACCCTCGGAGAGCGATTGTGGTAGATACATCCTGCAAGCAGGAGGGGAGTTATGCATAAGTAGCAAGGTCGCAACTAGGTGTTAAATTGCGATTGCCATCTCGTTCAGTTGATCTCATGTCATCACGCTTGTACACACAAATGCAATGCAACATGGAAGCCGGACCTGGACAATACGGCTGCAGGCCATCGTCACAGTCCCAGAAAAATGGCAGATGTTAGGAACGCCAATCACTAACAACAGCTTAAGGAAGCTGACACATACCAGGAGTTTGTCAGATCTCTGGAGAATGCTGAGAAGTGGCGTGTTGTAGGACACCAGGTCCGGTTGCCTTGGGCAGTTTCGCCATACTCCGTCACAAGGCATCACGTGTCAATTGGATTCACATGCAGTTTGGATCCTCGCTGCGGCCAAGGTACTGCCGTGAAGTGCGAAGAACCTCCGTTTCAGGAGGGCTCTCGGACTCAGGCTGAAAACGTTAACCCGGACTCAGGCTGAAAACGTTAACCCGTCTCGTGAGATTTAAGGTGTGGCCTGGAGAACATCTTCCGCGCCAGCTGCATCGCCACGCCGCGCCTTAGCCTTGCAAAGGCTTCGGTCAGAGTGCTCTCAAGGAATCGAAACATAGGAGCCATCCTAAGGCGGAGAATGCAGTGCTTATAGGATCAGCCCGGCAGGCGGATCTGTAAGCCAGGGCACGGACATCAATGCGTTGCAGGCTATCAGGTCCTTGGCTTGGGGCATTCAGCTTTCACATGGGTTTAGGGTTTAGGGATGTGCGCATTTTGCCGCCTACTAGCTACCCTTCAAAGCAGCGTCCCGCCCTCCCACACTTTTTGCCTATCGACACGCTAAACTGCTCTTGAACTTTCTCCAACATCTAGGTGCGAAGACCCACAAACCCACTGCTTCAGAGTATCGGGGCAGATCTGGTGATCGGTCATCTTGCTGAGCCACACCTCTGTGTTTTGCACGGATTGGCTGTATGCTTTGGACTTGCGGGGGAGAGAGGCAGACAAACAGACAGACACAGAGAGAAGGAGAAGGAGAGGGAGAGCCAGAGCGCATCACGCCATAAGTCGGGCCATGTGAGTAGTTCTCTAAATAAGGTCCCTTTTAGGGTCCTGGTTATAAAGGTGCCGTACTAATTCGGGGACCTACAAGAGGACCCTAATTTTGAGAACTACCCATGTCCAGAGGAGCCCACCTCTGCACGCGCCGGCTTCGAGGCCTTTGCCGCAGCGTTGAGCAAGGCACCTCTTCACGATGATCTTCTGTCAGGGTGTTCTGGGCTTCGGGCCATTTCCGGGGTGCTTTCTCTATTGCAAAACCGGAGGTTTGAAGGAACCTTCGCAGGCATGGGAAGTCGGAGCATGTCCATGTCAGGATTCAGACACAAGCTTTTGCAGCGTCGTGCTGCGGCATGGTCAATGCAGAGTCCCTCAGTGTATTCACCATGTGACGCCATGTGGGTTGCCAGCATGATTTGCTATTCTTGCGCGCCCTCGCCTGTTGCGGAAATAGACCTGCAAAATGTGTCTTCAACCGCAGGATGCAACTATTTTGGCATCCATACTTCGCTGCAAGCCTTGCAAGCAACCGCAAAGAGTGAACAAGTGCTGGGAAAGGCGCAAAAGCTGATGCGGTCAGGCTGGACGTCGGAGTCCATCATGAAGGTGTACCACCACTCCTGAAGGTCTAAAAACATAATCGACGATCGTCTAAGCTTATAATCTCTATGTAGGCCTTGCTTGCGAAACGTAAGTTCGGGCATTGAGTCTGTCATTGCTCTGACGCCTGTAACGGAATATTACTCCACGAGACCCCGCAAAAATAATTATAGAATGACTCGGACAAAGTGTCCGAGGTGCCGGATAAAAGAAAAGCTGTTGAGCACCGAGCACTTCAGAAACACCTTCTTTGTTCGTCCTGGGGTTGGTAATGAAGGAGCAGAACCCACGCGGGACCAAAAGATGGTTCTCTCTCAGAAATAAAAGGGTCCAGCATCCTTGAACGCACAAGCTTGAAAGTCGGGAACAGAATAACACTGTTCGAAAGCCGGTAGACACCCTTGTCTTTCGTGGCTCAGATCTACAGGTCCGAGGCACGGACTACCTCTTCCGAAATTCAGTCCCTATCAGCGTGCCAAGCGCATAACAGCCCGTCCACTTCCGAGGAAAACACAACAACCTGATCAGATCTTCGAAGTGTCGGCGGCACGAAGACGTCCGCGCTTCGCGAAAGCGTCGAGGACGGCGTTGCCTCACTAGGAGAAGCTCTGAGAACCCTTATAGAAAACCTTAAACGTAACCTGTTTTTGCTAACGGAGGAGGGAGAGACAGACAGGCCAGTTGCCCGGGCCAACGCAAGCATTGTCAGTAGCATGTTGGAGGCTGTAACTAATCGCACCGGGATGAATTGCCTGCCAAGCTGTGCACTGTTCGATGTCCGGCTACTCTCTGAGTCAGTCATTCACCTGCAATGTAGTTCGGCCTGCGATTCCATTACGAAGTAGTAGTCTTCTTGATTCTTACTCTCTTTCTCTCTCTCGCTCTCTCTCTCTCTCTCTCTCTCTCGCTCTCTGTCTGCGACTCTCCGCACATATGAACAAATGAATCTATCTATCTACCTATCTATCTATATTAATATAGATATACATACACATGCATATGAATGTACACACACATACTCATGCATACATACATGCACACACACACATCATGCTTTCATACCTTCACCCATGCATGCATACATACATACATACATACATACATACATACATGCATACAGAATTACATACATCCATCAATACATGCACTCATCAAAATACCTGGCTACCCACCTACCTGCATGCCTGCCTACCACCTCCACTGCCTGTGTTTGATGTATGCATGGGTGTATATGTATGAAGGCATGTATGTATGCATGCATGAATGTATGCGTGTATGTTTGTATGAACGTATGATGTATGTATGTGGTACGTATGTGCACATGATTACATGTACAAGTATGCAATGATGCGTGTGTGTGTGTCAGTTTGTCTGCACAAACATTCAGTACGTGCATGCCGGTCTGTCAAGGAATGAATGATTGAGTGAGTAAACGGAAGAAGGAATCAAGGAAAAACGCTAGTAACGAAGCAAGGGCGGACGGACAAACACAGGTACAACACGTACCATGTCTTTGCTCGAACATTTGCAGCTCCAAAACATGTCGATCCGGATCTGTTTTTGCATAATGTCGCTTGGCTCACATTGCTTTTTCGCAGTCCCCGGCACAAGCGGCGACGGGCACCCGCACGCCGCGAAGCTCCATTCGTCGGATCCAAATTTCGGCGTTGCTGGGTGCGCCTGGATACTTGCAACACTCCAACAACTCCAACAACCAATATCTCAAATAATCCATGGATCTGTCCACAGTTGCCGTCTGAGATGACACCCCTAGACGCGCATCTGCACTAAACTCCACACCTACGGGGGCAGGAGCCTGGGGGAGGCGGGCGGGGGACCCCATAATATTGGGCCCTATAGCGATAGAATAGTGCATTAGGTGTGCATATTGAAGTATAATATAGTATAACAATGCAGAGACTGTAAGGTCATAACCTCCTCCAAGGTCTCCAAAGAGACTCTATCGAAGCAAATAAAGCATAAGAAAGTAAATCTTCTTCCAGGCCCTCATACTCGCAAAGTGAAGCTCCTACAAACAGCATCTTCCGGGATCAAGTCTTAAGCCCTGAAGGTTGAAGCAGCCGCCTGCGCGAGCAAAGGCTGCAATGACAGAAGTGTAGCTGGCGGCGTCCGGTGCACACTTGCTCCAAACCATCCTGCTAGTGTGTTTTTTACAACATGTGGGGCGTGGGGCGTGGGGTACTGGGTGGAGAGTCAGAAGCAATGAGCACGCAAGTTTGAGGCAATTTTTCAAGTTCTCGAAGCAAAGGCTTTGTGGGCTTCAGGCTCTGTGCCTGCGGGAGTTCTGCGCCTGAAGACATACGGAAATTAGTGGAAGCTAGATTTGTCTTTGGGAAGTGCGCCTTCGGCCTGCGCAAAAGATCCGACACCTTCCGGCCCAAGGGAGCCTGCGGAACCAAAGCTCGGCACGGAAGCCATCGCCGGATTTGGCCTCTCCAGCCAGGAGCTGCTGGAAGGCAGCGGTAGCGGGATGAAGCCTTCAAAAGGCTCCACATAAACTGGGTTTGGGGAGTCCTTTGTGGGGCATTTCGATGATTGTTCCCTGACAGTGACAAGATGTGTCGGGTTTCGCGGGTGGCGCCAATGGAGCCATGCATGCCATACTTGGTCACAAGAAGAACGGATGGAGTCTCAAAATATGGCATGCCTGGGTTTGAAACCTGGCAAGTCACGTCAAGTGTCAAAGCACGAACTCCGCGTCGCGTGATCAGATCAACGCAGAAAGACCGGAAAGAGCCGTACACAAAGCTTCAATGCCCTCTGGGCCCTATACCCGAAGGGACTAGCCCGAGCGCCCGGTCTCAGGTTCTGACCCCATTACACAATCTCGCCCGCACCTCTGGACCCGATTCGTGGTCAGCAGCCGCTGGAGTTGTGCCTCTACTTTCGGTCTTGCCAGGGAGTTGCGAAAGTCTTCGGAGCCGAGGCTGTTGGGGTTTAGGATTCTGGCTAGCGGGTTTGCGTGTCAGGGTTGTGCTGGCAGAGCCATCCTTGATGCCTCGGGCGCCCACGGTACCGATGTCTCGGCTAGAGCTGTCTGCCGAGTACAACGCATTGCTAGCATGTATTCTGTCGGTAGGCCTCAAGGACGCAGAAGTTGTTTTTGGTAGGCGCCGCTGCAACGAATGAAAAGGAAGGCGAGAAGGTGACAGGGTAACATTGGTTCCTTTATGGGCTTTATTCAATCGGCAAGACAATGTCCTCTCAAATTGAAAAACAAGACATTGAGATTTGACTGCCAAGACGGTCCGATGCCCCCGCGCCTGGGAGGGCATGGCTTGTTCCGGCCGCGCCCATGGCTTTGACCATGGCCCGAGATCGATCGACAGGCACTCCAGCAGGCAAAGTTTACGGTATTGACCTAAAGTTCACTGAATGGTCCCCCTCCGCATGGAGGGGTGCTTCGCATAGACACAGGGGTTCTTTCGACGGAGGGCTAGCGCAGTTCACTGCTGGCAGCATGCTGTAGCTTCTTAAGAGATCAGCACGAAACATCTAAGCAAACGGGCTATATACTTCTCCAGGCAGAGACCTTTTGAAAAAAGAGTCTGCGTGCAATCGCCACGCACTTAAACCTCCAGGCACCATCATCATAATCATCATCATCATAATCATCATCATCATCATCATCAACAACATCATCGTCGCCAGGCTCATCGTCATCATCGTCATGGTCTTCGCAGCCACCACTGCTCCTTGCTCATATCCATGGCTATTCTTCTTTGTTTGCTGATTGCGATAACGGATAACCGAGAACAAGACCGTGCAATATCAACATGTGCATTCGCATGGGCTGGGGTACTCGAAGCCGCAGCAGCAAGAGGATCAGTATAACGAGCTGATGAGATGATTCTGACTTGCTATTGTATTCTTGCCGCCGTGGGTGCTGCGAGTGCTTCGGGCGGCACTATGGTGGTGGTTTATCGCTTCCTTACTACTGGCAAGCCCGATATTCGAGGGTTGCAATCGGCTGACAGATGAGATCGCCGGAACCGAATAGCAGCAACATCACTCGCCAACCCATCGACGGGGAATTAACATAGCATTGAGCTCTAGGGACAACAAACCTGTCCTTTCACGGGGTTTGACAGGATGACAAGACTCTGGGATAACTGGGCGTACGGCTGTGAGGTGCAGGGCTTTGAGGAGCTTCAGGGCTTATGAACGCTTGGGGCACAGGCTTTGCTAGCGAGTTTCGCGTTACGACGATAGACTTCAGGTGAAAAATCCGTCTTGGTGGCTATCAGTATTTCTGAAGCTTTCAACCAACAGAACATGAAAGGCATGTAGAACGAACGAAAGTTCTGGTGCCTCATGGCCTGACTCACGACTTCAAGTTGTCGAGGCCCCTGGATCTCAAGACACAGTGCCCGAAGCACCGCGCCGAGTGCAAGATTCCTTCAAGTTTAATTTTGAAGGTCAAGGGCTCTTCGACTGTTCAGCCCCCCGGAAAAAAAACAAAAACACTTCAGACACTTCAATCTCAGAAGCTAAGGACCAACGCCTAAGCCTCTTCGACATCGGATGGTAGGTTCAGCCATGCCAGGCACCGGGCTCAGCGTCAGCATCCCGCAGAAGCTGAGGATGTGCATCGCTGCACCCGAGAGCCACCTTCAGCGAAGTGGCCTAGAGGGTCTTGCAAAGGCTACTGTATACATGTATATATATATATATAGGCATGTGGTTACGTGTAGGAAGCATCAGACTTAGGTCCCGAAACTAAACTTGTGATAAACCCTGCTGCCGCCCTTCCGCTCTACTTTTGCCTGCTCTTACGAAGTGTCTTTTAAGCGACGGTGCGCAAACCAAGTAAAACAACTAGCTGGTCCAGCAGTTCAACCGCGAACGCAAGAATGCATCTATGTACATGTATACAAATGATGCGGTAGACATGTTTTTCTGCTATATATGTGTTAGGCACTGGCCAGAACTGCACAAAGCAGAACAAATCATGCTTCTCTTCCCTAAACCTGTCCGAGGGAGCCACCAGAACAAGGCGCTCAGGCAAAGAACCGTAACGCGCTCCTGCGAGGAATAAGTGACATCGTAGAGAGGAATAAATGACATCGTAGAGTCGTAGAGTTTCTGTGAGCTGCGTGACCTCCTCTGCCTTTCCCATGTGGCGATCTTCGGGGTACGCAGGTTGTGGGTTTAAGGCCACTAGCACAGCACATCATGAAGAAGCCTGAAATCTGTGAACGGAACAATTGAACGGAGTGCCTCTTGTCGCAGCCTTCGGGACAACACAGAGTCATCCCCACATCCGCTGATGCTACTCATGCTCCTTTCGTTCAAGCGGGGGTGAGCTTAGTCTAAGACAGTGTGGCCCTAAGCTACGCCCGAAACCTGTGCTGCAAGAAAGGGCCGCGTAAGTGCAATGCATCGCAGGGCTCCTGAGCTCCGTAGAGGGCTCCCTGAGGCAAAGGCATGGTTTCGGGGTCATCGGACTGGATTTCTCGGGGGCGGGTCCCAAGAGTTGGCTCGGGCTCTGCCAAACGATTTGGGTACCTCTGCTTCACGGGCATCTCTTTATGTGAGGGTCAGGGCCAAACATCAACAAGAAGATCTGCATGGTCATACCCAATGTCCATCGTCATCCTCGACATCAACATCATACCATTGATCATCGTCGCCATAATGGTCGACCGCACTCTGATCCTCCTGTCCTATAAGGCAACGACATCAAAACCAACGGTACAAGTAAAATCGGTGAATGCTAGCCGCAGCTGCGTCACTGTCTCAGAATGTGTGCTAAATCACAGCCAAACTGGTGCAGGAGAAGCAAAAATGGCACCTTGACCAGAAGCATGCAAGCAATGATAGCCCCTGGCGAACATCAATCCTGATGAGGTAGCCACATAGCTCAAATGATGCGGTGGTCCTCGATGATGTGACCCAACACATCCACGAATGGAACATGCCACGCAGCTAGGACCTGAGCCTCAATTCCTGGATCCCCCGCCGTAGTTCAAGCGAGGCCTCTAACCGCCAGTTTTTTTTTTCACGGAGCAAGTAGCTGGCTCTGTAGCCATGCTATGCCGCTCCTCTCGGGTTTTGAAACTCCTCCGGCTACAGCCGTCAGTGCTGTTGACGAACAAGCTGTGGCATGTCCACGCGCGCCCTCTCCATGCTGCAGCGCTGCAGGAAACCGCAGTGCAAACATGCACCAGCTTTTGTAGCATGTCAGGAGCCTAATGTAGGGGCCTTAATTATAATGAACACATGATACTATAATTATTATAAGGAACCCCACAATAGTATAGTATAGGTAATTATTAAGGCCCCTACATTACATCAGGAAGTGCGGGCCGGAATCAAGCAGAGTTCGGTGAGCTCAGGCGTAAGACTTGAATACAACCTTAGCCTGCTAAGGGTCCCTTTAAGGGTTCCTATTAAAGGGATTCTATAAGGGTACTATACGACTCTATGAGTGACCAGAACGAGAGATCGTCACTTCCTGGGAGCTTCGACGTCCTGCGGATGCCTCAAAAGTCATAAACTACCAACTTGAAACTCACGGGCGGCTGCTCAGAGATGGTCGTCTCTAAAAACGAAATGTTCAGCCAGGACATGCTGTCAAGCAGGTGTATGGGACTGTGGGATCGAAATTTGTGACACTTCCAACATCGAGGTTCTGTAAGCTATAGCACTATAGCAGTCGTTTCGCGAACTGATCCTCGACCAGCAGCCCGCCAAGTCCCAATCATCGTCGCAGATCGGTATGTACACATGTTGCATCATACGTCCTACTGGTTGATCAAGATCAGAGGACACCTGAATGGTGTCAAACCTATCATTCATGGGTCTACCAACCGAACTCTTTCTACTGCCGATATCAGCGCCCCTAAAAAGGACCGAAACTCCAAAGAGCGAACATGCCCTAAAACGTGCTTCTGTGGAATTCCTCTCAACTTATGCTATTCGGTCGAGTCTTTTTCCGTATCAAACGTACAGGGAGTGCAACAACTCCGGTTCCGAGTGGAACTTACAAGTAGGATCGTCCATTAAGCAGGAAAGCTGGCCCCCTCTTGCAGAGCTGCCCTATTCATCGCTACGTTGTGAGATATATGTTGCGTAGAGCGAGCTAGAGATAAACATGCATGTACCTGTATAAAGGCACGCACTCACACACGTTGAGGGATGTATAGAGAAATCAGAGTCAGAGAGAGAAAGGCAGAGACAAAGAGAGAGAGAAGGAGAGCCTTTGTTGAAGTCTATGACCGGCGCTGTTCAACCACAACTTCGCCAGAAGCCAAGCCAAGTAACTTCTCATTCACTTCGTGGATCAAGTCGCGGGATCGGACGCCCTCCCCGTCGACCGTGGAAAGGCCAGAGTTTCCTTTTGCCATTGCGTGGGATGCTGCATCCAAACCGCGCGGGACTCTCCATCCAAAAATCTCCAAACCCAAGAGCCCTTTAGATGAATCCTAAACACGGAGATGCCTAGACTGCAATGACTACTACAGGGGTTCAAGGACCATGTTTGAAGGCTCTTGAAAGGCATCTCGGGAGGCTATCGGGTTCGCCACACGGGTGATGAGCAATGCGGGAAAGTAGCATCATTTGTGAGATGATTGAAACACTAGTGCCTGAGGCTCAGGGTATTGAGGGTCTTGTCCCAACCATACGGTTGACGCATATGGACGCTCTTCGAATGTGGTCATTTGAGCGTCTTGCTTTACCCCAATGCATTTAACACATTCACACGTTGAGCAATAGTTCCGAGGCTTGAGCCCCCGCAGCCCTTAGCCAGGTGACCTCAATCCTCACGCTATGCATATGCATGTCAATGTCTATCCGTCTCGATACATGTTTGTGCATGCGTGTATATATCGTGTGTAAATGTGATCTTATATATATATATATATATACATATATATATATATATACAGCATTTGTTTAAAGGTTGGTTATTGATAACTATAACTATTGCGCGTAATGTGCTGGTACCTGCCGGACGCCAATATTCAAGGACTTGCAAGCCGACAAGCCACGTAGTCTGGTCGCAGCCGAAGCGTGGCATCGGCAGCCTGCAAGCGTCGCCCAACAAGATCTGAGATCTGGGACTTTCCGAAAATTAGGGTACCTCATTTTGGGGTCTTTATAATAAGGAACCTCCCATCTTAGGGGCTTGGCTACCAAGACCAGCTTGGGAGTTCTTATTTTCACGTTGCGATTTCATGAACACTGTAGCTGGTATAGGGAAGCAATGCATGATGCGAAAAGTCTTCAGATTGGACAACGACCTGATATCGTATGCAACTCGGTCGACCCA